CATATGTGACCGTGGTCGTGCGTTTTTGTTACCTGGCAGACATGTAAAGCAGTGTTGCTTTGCATTGTTTCTCTTGCAAATTACATGATTCCATGTCAGTAAAAACAAAGATAAAAACAACAAAAGCAGAAAAATATATGAACGTTAAAAAAATGCTGCTTCTTTTCTTTTTTTTAGAAAATGTCATGTTTTATCCAGTGTTTGCCTTGACACTTTCACACTCATAAATGTAAACATTGGATGAGCGTTGTAACTGTGCGATGTAACTGTGCACATGAGCAATAAGAGAGTCAGTTCCATGTTTATGGTAAGTGTATTTTAAAAAACAGGCTTCTTTCATCGTGCTGAAACTGAAGCTTCACAGGAGACCTGTTTGAAGGCTTACATGATCCAGGTGGGAGTAATATCATTTCTACTTCTTTATAGAGTGAAATTACAGATTGTCTGTATGAGATTTTGTCCTGAATTTATAGAACATTTAATTTAGACTTCTGATTTAAGACAGTTATAGAAAACAGCCAGAGGATGATGTTTGTTGAAACATTTGTTGATGAACATGTGTGTGCCATTGTTTACAATGACTCAACCTTCATGTTAGGATTTTCCCGTCTGAGCATTTCCTTTAAAATCAAAAGTATGTTCACCTGCACCGTGTTGATTGTTGTGTTTTATTTTTAGGATGAAAATGGACATTTGCGGCATGAACCATACAGCCAACCACACGACACTGATTTCCACTGAGAAATTCAACAAAGGAGATCTTTGGGGATTCCCTGCAAGGACTTGATTTGGTGCAAACCTTCTCTTTGGTCTCCCCACCAACGCGTACATCCTGTGGCTTATTCTGCGAGGCGGCAAAGACAAAATAGCGTCTGGTTTTGTCCCCTTAAACCAGATTCTCGTTGAGATTCTTCTTGGTCTCACAGGCATTCTGTATTTCCTGCAGCGCTACCTGTCAGTCTTTCTCTTCACAATATTATATCCCCTGTTGAGCTCGATGTTTCTCATCATACGTCCCCTTGTGCAAAGCTTTATCTGCTAGGAGCGATAATTAGTGGTTATGCATCCTGTTATATACTTGAGATGCAAACCTCTGAAGTACAAGTTGGCATGTTCAGTGTTTCCTGGCTGGCAGTGGACACAGTGGCAATTGCCCAGACAGTTTTCAATTTACGAAATAAATTATTCCAAACGCTTTGAGTTTTGTATTTGTTGTTTTGGCTGTTGATGGCTTTCTGCTGCGTCTCAGTGCTCAGAGCTCTGAGACATCCTGGACCAGGGGCAGCGCAGGGAGGCCAACACAGGGGAAGCAAAATCAAGACAAGGGCTTTTAATCTCATTTTGTTTAACCTGGTGTATACCTCTGGGTCTCAGCTCCCAATTGCAGTGAGTGCATTATTAATCAGATTCCCTGTTTTTCACTCTTGGGGACTCGCCAATGGGAGGAGGGGAGTGACATTAATATACGGTGACTGGAGTCAGTGCATTGACTGTCTGCCGACGACCGCTATGATCACCGTGCACATAGTTTTTCTAGTAAATGTGTTATCCTGTATATGCTTTGTATTTGTACACTTACTTTTTGGTATACTATGTCTGTTATGAATTATGTAATTTTGTTTGATGCGCGCTATAGTGCATGATAGTGCAAGTGCTATGATTCTGAATTATCAATATTGTGATGGTTTGCCATGTGATGATGCTGGTCTACTGATAATCCACAGAACTGTAGAGGAACATCAGGCTCCATGATCAAAGTTTAATATCACATCATCACTTCAGTCCGTCACAGCGCTCTTTCTGCTGCCCGCTAAGACGAACGCAGGTCTCCCTTTCTCTGCTGAGTCTGCATCACTGATTTTTAAACATCGTTCAATGTGTTTTAAAATAATTATTAATCTGAATGAGGCTTCATGTTTATTGGCAGGAAAGTCATATGATACATTTGCAAAGACAAAATAATTCAAGCGTTAAAGGTGACATATCCTCCTCCTCTTCAACCAGTTTAAATAAGTCTCAGAGCTCCCCAAAACATGTTTGTGAAGTTTCTTGTTCTAAATCCACTCTGATCCTGTGATTTGATCATGCCTATAAAGTAGGGCTGGGCAAGTTAACGCGTTATTTTCACTAATTAATTAATTATCGCGATAATTATTTTATCTCGCATTAACGCAGTTTTTATTATTTATTTTCTTATTGTAAAAGTCTGTTGCTCACTGGCTTTTATTTTGTAAAATTCCATCGTGAGCGAGCCTAGTATGTTGCTTACTGCTGCGCATGGCTGCTGCGGCGCTCACAGGAAAGAGGAAACAGTCAGAAAATAATTGACGGATAATCAAGCATGGAGAAGGGTCGAGAACTTTTACATGGCCATTTTCATTTTAAAGTTCTTCCAGACGGCGCAGTCAACAGAGCCAAAGTTATTTGTAACCACTGCGAAGTTGAATTTTCTTATCACCGGAGTACTTCCAGTCTGAAATACCACCTAAATGCAATACACTCAGTTGATACCAGCAAATCATTCAACGAAACAAACAGTGGAGCGAGGCTTCGGCAGACTACGTTAGATGCAGCCTGTGGGAGAAGTATAGATAAACAAAGACAAGAGAAGCTAACAAATCATCTGAAAATGTAAATAATCTTGTATGTCTTAACAACTGGCTTCGTGCAGAGGAGCAAAAAAGTCAAGTTCTAGGAATTGACAAACTGCACTGACAAACTGCACTGTTTTCTGGTTCTTTTTTTGAGTAAGATTCTCCAAAGGAAATCTAGTATAAATATAGACTAGTCCCCTGCACAGTAAATCCCTGCAGTGAACTTTTATTGTGCTTCACCTCACTCTAACAGGGGCATTTGGTACTGAACATAGATTGGTTATGCTGCTCCCTGATAAAAGAAAAATGTTTTTGCTGTTACCTCAGAAATTGCCTGTTTTAATGTTATGATTGTGGCTCAGGATTTTCTGGGCAGTTTTTTTTATATATAACAAACATTGCAGTGGCAATAAGCTTTAGTTTTATATTTATTTGCTTTGATTACATTGTTTAAGTTGAGAAGTACATTTACAATGAAAGTGCGCTATACACTACTTTTGAATTCATTATTGGATTTTGCCTATAACAATGCGATTAATCATGATTAATCACAGGAACTCATGCGATCAACGCGGTTAAAACTTTTAATCGTTACCCAGCCATACTATAAAGCCCTCTATTTCAGCGCTGCTGAGAACAGGCTGTTTCTGTGTCTGTACCTTTAAATGTAGATGAGCAGTGTCTGACCACGCCCCTCTCTGGAAGGGCTTGGGTGTCTCAGGCTTTCTCGGTCCATATCCTATTGTTTACGGTGAGAAGGCAGACTCAGAGGGCAGAATAAACACCTAGCTGTGGGAGTGTCACCCACCTGGGGGAGGGGTTACTGCCCTTTGTGATGTCATGAAAATCTCCAAATGGCCTGTTTGAGCACACATTTTCTGAAAAGTGGAGCAGGTAAAGGATGGAGAGGATGGACTTTTCTCATTGTTGGGGGGTTTATAGACAGACTAGAGACACATTATAGTGAGAGAAACATGATGAAGTGTATTTAGCATAATATGTGACCTTTAGGGTCTCTACATTAATCACTTGCATTAAGTTGTTAACGTTGTCAGTCCTAGTTATAATCTATATTTTCTATCATAAAGTTCTACCTACACATTTTTTTGTTTTGTATTATGAAAGATGCTTTATGTCATGCAATAAATACCTGAAAAGTTCTGTTGTAAGATGTACAGTACATTTTGACATCACACAAACTAATCACCAGAGCAGTTCATAAAGTGTGTTCAGTTTTCTGTCTGCAAGTTGTTGAAAGCCACTTCATGTTAATGCTTATAAATACATCACAGCTGAACAGAGAACATCTTTCATTATTATTACCAGAGTTTATATTTTTCCTGTCGCTGTTTGTTACATCAATGTATGATATTCAGACATTAACTTACATTAAACAAAATATTGGAGTAATTATCTAAAATAAATGTCTTTCTTATGTACAGTGAAATTTTCCTTTTATGATCATCATAATATTACATCTTGTACACTGCAGTAGTTTGATAGCTTTCTTAGGCCCCATGTCCACCTAGCGTTTCTTCCGGCAGTGTTGGAGTACTTGAAATCCGTCTTTGTCACAAGACAGATCTCAAGACTTTTTGAAGGTCTCGGTCTCGGTCTCATCTGGGAATTAAACGCATTTTTACTCGGTCTTATCTCGGTCTCAGACTGGGCAAACTCCGGATTTTAAGTCAAGACCACCACTGAAAGGCTATTTTCCACCTCAACACTGTGATTAGAAGGAAAACGCCTCTTTTACTTCAATTTATTTATAGCTTAATTTTTATCCCTCGGTTACGGCCGCAAATTTCCCGGTGTTACAGTCTGTGAGTGACACGCCCGCTACATAACATGGTGATGATGTTTCAGTGATATTTATGGTTTTGGTCTTGGTCTAGTCTCGGTCTTGCCTTGCCTTGCCTTGCCTTGCCTGGGTCTTGGTCTTGGTCTTGACTCAGTCTCGATCCCTAAATGTCTTGGTCTTGTGCACTCTGTTTCGTGTATATCTTGTTCTCACTTAGTGTGGTCTTACTACAACTACAGCACTCTTTTCTGGGCAGGAAAGCGCTGACTGTGCATTCGAGAGCACTTGCATGAAGCGTTGAGGAAAAAAAAGCGCTGCACGTCCTGTCTCTATGACAACAGTCTGTTGACAATGGCTGCAGTATGACCGACACTGCTCTGTTACCTTTAACTGTATGTTTGTTACTCCAGCAGACATGAAGCAAAGAGGATGTGAGTTCAAGACACGATACGAGGGAATATCAAACATTTTGAAAACAGCGCTTGTGTCGTCAACAGTGCCTTTCTGAAAAATTGAACAATTTCAACTTCAGGCACTTGGAGAAAAAATGCTAGGTGGACCCAGGGCCTTACTTGCCTTCCCACAGTTTGCCTGTTTGTTTAATCTTAGTTATTTGTGGAATTCTGCTTCAGCTGGCAGAGCGTGACGGAGGAGCCAACGCCGAAACCTGCATACAAAGGCTCACTGAAACGACCTTTGAATCTGTGGATAAGCTCCATAGTCTCTGAAACTGAATAAAAGGCCACAGTGTTGCCTGCATAATCCAGGTACACACCAAGCCGCGAGGCCCTGGGAGCATTAGGGAGGTCTCGGTCTACTTTGTTGTGCCAGGCAGAGTAGCCCGAGTCTGAGCACAAGAGGCTCCAGGACTTGTCGTTGTAGCCCAGCAGGCTGTGCGAGTTCTTCCCCTTCCGACTGATGCTCTTGTAGGCAACCCCGATGGAAAACTCCCCGTTCCACTCAGCCTCCCAGTAAAACCGGAAACCAGCCAGAGGCTCCTTGCACAGCGCCTGAGAGAAGCCGTCAAAGCGTTCTGGGTGATCTGGGTAAAACTGGACCGCCTTTTTCCGTGTGACCCTCTGGTTCCCGTCGGACAGGACCAGCTCTTTGTAAACTGTGTTCGGATCGAAGGACAGCTTGCAGGAGTCTGAGAAAACACAGCCATACACAAAACATATGGTTTAATTATGCATGTTAGTTCAACAACAGCAGAAACAATTAACATAAGGATGAACGTGCAATAAATTCAGAAACTGTGAACAGTGTTTCCCACTCATAGATGATACCTGGGCGGGCCACCCAAGTACATTTCTGGCCGCCCAAGTATGTTTCCGACCTGTTTTTATTTATTTTTCATTTATTGATAGAATTGCTGCGTGCACGAGAGAGCGAGAGAGAGAGCAGGGAGATTCAGATTCAGATTGCAGACATGCGCGAAGACCTCACGGCTCCGTGCAACATAACAAAACTCCCGTTTAAAAAAAAACTTCCCTCTCGACTCCTGCGGGGAGATAAGACACAGCAAGACGAAGAATGCAGAATAGCATCAGCTTCAGAGAGAGAGAGAAAGAGAGAGAGAGGCCCAGGTATCGCGTTATGTTAAAATGAACACAGCTGTGTTACTTTTTATATAGAGTATATTATATTTATAAGTATAGAGTGAAATTGGAGTGCCTGTAACATTTGCATTGTTTATGTGTTGGCAGCAGGTTTTGTTTTTTGGACTTGTGCAAGTGTTTACATTTCTGAATTTGCCGATGTTCCTGATGTAAATCGCTTCAGCCGTCGTGAATAGTTTGCCCCTGTCTGCAACCATAATCTAATGTGATGCATTTTATAGATCAAGAATGAAACCCCCACAATAACTAAATTATATGTCTGAGAATGCAATATGCGGTATATCGTCCATATTTCTGTTGTGAAAAAGCAAATACATGAACCACAGAGAAACACTCTTCACTCACATCTTAAGAAGTCCGTCCTGGTTTTTGGCTCCTGAAAATCGAGTCTGGAAGGAACTGAAATCACATAGAAGTAAAAGTCTAAAGTGAATTACATAATTTCTAACATAAAATTAGTAGACACAGATGTCACCTCCATCTTTCTTGTCTCTTTAATTTAATGTATAAAGTGTTACATGTTTAAGGTCACAGAAACTTACCTTTGAGTCGTTTGTCACCATTTCTTGGCAGAAGGATGTACACGGGGGTTTCACTCACTGTTGAAATGATACAGCGTCAGGATGACCATGCCGAATTTAAAGATATATTGTCACTTTAGGGTGCACTCACACTAGGCAATCTGTGCCTAAGAATGCTTCACCCTGAAAGTCCACTTTGTTAGACTAGTGTGAGATTGTTGATGCGGACGGCCTGCTGCTATTTTTTTGTCTGTCTGTCTTGTAAACTAAGCACGCTTCATGATTACTTAACCATGCATGTGTTGTATTATGATGTTATGTACAAGAGGTAACCGTGCTCAGACCCGGTTAGTCCTGGAGCAGTCTGAGTGCAGGCCAGCAGTGGAATGGGGAGGGGGGGACAATCGTGCTTCAGCATGGTACGGGATAACTGTGCCTAGTGTGAGTGCGCCCTAAATCTACCGCACCATACACAAACCTGTCTTGGAGATTTTGCCCAGCTCCTTCTTACAGATGTTGTCCACATGTTCTTTCATCTCCATGGCTGTCTTGCTCATCTCTCCAAAAGAGAACTGAGGGTTGATGAGCACTTTGGGCACCATGGCTTCAGGAGGGACACACAGGTGGGGAAATTCTGTTCAGAAGGAAAAGGAGAGTCTTGATCAAGGAGGTTTAACTGATGAGGCTCCCTGTCATGGAAGGGTGGCCGTAAGCAGGGTGACGTCAAAGCATTTAACTGTGCATATGGAGAAGAACTTGAATTTACATGCAGAAACGCCTGGCTCATACACAGGACAGAACAGATAAGGTGACAGCAGCTGAAATATCTTAAAATATCTCACCTGCAGAAAGTGAATGTTGTCCTCTGTCTCGAGGATCTGCCGTAGCTCTGCGTCTCTGCGCTGCAGCTCCTGGATCTCCTGTTCCAGACGGCCCAAGTAGCCCTCCGCCTGCGACATCGCTGCCTGCATGTTCGCCGTGATCATCTGATTGATTTCTGCCTTCCAGCGCTCCACCGCCTGCAGCATTTCGTGGAACGTCTTGTCGCTTTCAGCCTGTGCTCGCTGGGCACCACTCTGCAAGGTCCAATCAGAGGTCAGTTTTAAAAGAGGTGATCGCAAACTGTAAACATAGTGCCATTTATTTTTAAATGTTTTCGTCATTTCACATTCAAAAAAACCCTCTTAAAATGTAAAATGTTAGATTGGACAATGTGTGATCTTACTTTGAGAACATCCACATTATGTTTGAGCTCCTGCAGCTCCTTCATCCTCTCCTGAATGATGTACTGGACCTCCGACTGGGTGACCACCAAGACTTTCTTTTAGATGAACAAGACAATAATGGCACTTTAAAGGGGACATATGATGTCCACTTCTGCAGTGTTTCTGAACATATATTTGGGTAACCTGAGTGTCTACCAACCAACAAAATGTGAAATAAACCCATCCAGTCCTTTGTTTGTGGTCTGCATAAGTCTTACAACACAGAGAAAAATGCTCCGTTTCAAATTTGCTCTCCTTGTGATGTCACAGTGGGATTCTGGTAAAAAAAAATCCCCTCCCCTCCCCTGGTATCTCCACCCATGGATTCCACCCCCAGCCTAGAGCAAAACTTTTGCGCAGGTCCGGCATTTTTATTCTCGCTACAGAGAAGTGATGTCTACAGGGAAAACTCAGGGGGAGCTCATTGCATTTAAAGAGACACACACACCAAAACGGAGCGTTCTGAGAGAGCTGGTTTATACAGGGTCACAAACCTCCTCTGGCGCTTGACTCATGCTATATTTTGACCAAAGCACAGATGTTTCATTTAGACCACAGGGGACTGTTTGAAAATGTGAAAAAGGGGCATGATATGTCCTCTTTAAAACATTTCAGATGAAACTTTGGTTGAGAATTTAAAACTATTAGATTCTCATAAACACCATTTTTAAACTTTGATACGAGTCAAGTAAAAATCCAATAATTCAATACCTCTTTTGATATCACCACATACAAGTCCTATGGATCATTTCTTGTTTTTATTACAAAAGCTCCTGCACACTGTCTTACAGAGTCCCTGAAGTCCTAAAATGAAAAAATATATCTTTTGGGAACAAGGTACCATCTTATATACAACTTAGATGATAACTTGCATGCACAAAATCATTACAGTACTTTTACTTTGTGGGACTTCAAATGGCTCCATACCGCATGCAAATATAGGCCTATCTGCAAACCTTTTGATATTTGTGCAATCTAGAAAGTGCTCTCTCTCTCTCTCTCTCTCTCTCTCTCTCTCTCTGGCTCAGCTTTTTGGTAAAAACATGACTTAAGGTCTGATGTTGTTTTAAAGTTTCTGTACTTTTCGATATCATCAATCCTTGAAATAACGGAGGTTGTACCGTTTGAGAACACATGGTATCAAAAAGCGTCGAACCTTAGTCAGAAATAAAACTTTCATGCAGTCATTTAATGCACATCAGACTAATTAGTCCTCCAGGTATCAGACTCATTGACACTTTAGACTCACTTGTTTTTCGACTCGCTCCTCCTCTGCTGAGGTGATGTTGTGGCCGCGGTGCTCTCTGACCGTACACAGCACGCAGACACACATCTGGTCCGAGCGACAGAACAGCTCCAGGCCTTTCTCATGCTGGGGGCAGATCTTCCTGTCCAGGTGGCCCGTCTCGTCCACCAGCTTGTGCCTCTTGAAGGTGGACGACTCGTAGTGTGGCTTGACGTGTGTCTCGCAGTAGTAGGCCAGGCACATGAGACACGACTTTACGGCCCTGTTGCGACGGCCGACACAGAAATCGCAGAAGGACTCCCGCTGCATGTGGGGGAAAGGAGTGAGCTCAGGAAGCTGTCGCAGGGGCTCGTGGTTCACGTCGGGCACATTGCGTCTCAGCACGGGCCGGGGCGTGAAAGTGGCACGGCACTGTGGGCAGCTGTACACGCCCATGTGGTCAAACTGGTCCCAGTAGATCTTGATGCACTCCAGGCAGTAGGTGTCACCGCAGGGGATGGTGACCGGGTCTCTCAGCGTGTCTGCACACAGTGGACAGAACGAATCTGGAGGGAAAGGGAAGCTAGATTCAGCCATGATGCTGCTCGACGAGAAAAAAATTAAACCAACTTAGAATCAGGAGAGTCGATATGTGTCGGATTAAAATCCCCAGACTGCCAAGTTAGCGCTGAGGTCCAACCAAAGGATCTAACTCCTTCTCAAACCAGAGACAATGCTGACCGGTGTTTATATTTATAGGGGAGGTTTTGTTTTGACCCTAAACAGATGGGTGATGTCTTCCTACAGAGCCCTCTTTCTCATCATGTCTTTCAACCATGCAGGAATCTGCTTAACAAGCAGGAATATCAGGTTGCTCACACAGTAAGGTCAAGTTGTCAGCAAAATAAAAACATTAAAAGAGGCTCACCTAAAATTAGGGTGTTGATACTTTTTGATACACCAGCTTTTTAAAACGGCTTTTTTTAATGAGCGATAGCATTAAAAAGTACCCAACCTTAAAATAAAAACTGCAGATCTTCAGTCATATTTTAAACTAAAATGCAGAGTGAGTGAAAGAGAGAGAGACAGCAGGGGTCTTTTTGCCGTCACATAAAGAGGCAAATGCTACCTTTATCACTCTAACAGACCAATAGAGAGCAGAGGAGATGAGTTTTTTGTATATTTAGACAGCGTTTGTTAGTTTAAAGGGTCACTCAGTCCTTCACACCATTTAGCTTTACTTTGGGTTGTGTCAGTCTGGGGGTTTCATGATGGTGCATGATGATGCCAAAACAAAGAGTTGTGTTTATCCTGTGAACAAAACACAGAGTCAGTATGTGGGCACCCACAGGACCACGTTGAAAACCTGCAGGACGGGAAAAAGTATAAACACTGCTGCACCAGAAAACAATCACATGGATGTGATTCTCATTGGACAATCAAAGTTGCATAACATCTTGTTTTCTCATACACTGTATAGACACAAAATATCTGACATGTGAGATCAACATTTTTATATAAAAATCAAAACACTTCCATCCTGAAGTGTTGAATGAGTGTGAGTTGGCTAAAGCAGGAGGGTGGCACCCTGCACCGTACAGAGCCGCACGGTAGCACATCTGGACGTGTGACACCGGCTCTGTTTTCCTGCTCTCCAGTTTGATAAGCTGTGACACGGAATAATGTTTCTCGTAATGTGTCCGTTTGTTCAGCGTGCTCTCGTCAATGGTCTTTGTCCTCTTGAAGGGCCATTCTCGTCTTTGTCCAGACAAGAGGGCTCTTGTGACAATGACGGTAAGTGAGAGAGAAAGAGAGCACAGTAGTGACTGAAAGCTTTCAGCTGAGTTCAGCGGCGTAGACGGGACAAAGGAGTGAGAATGATAAACCTGGGTTACATGAGGAGATATGTTAGCTAATTAAGAAGAGGAACGTGATGAAGTGGGGGAAAAAAACAGAAGTGGGATAACGGGATATGAAACAGGGACTCACCCATGATGTGTTTTTTCACACGTGAACAAAACTCTTAAAAATGTCCAGAAATGACCACAAGATTTTTTTTTCATTTATGGTTCATTTGGATCCCCATTAGCCACCACCTAAATAGCAATAATAATAATAATAAAAATTGTATTTATATAGCACTTTTCAATCCAGAGGCACAAAGTGCTTCCCATAGACAACAACAATAACAAGAGATTAAAAGAAAGATACTAAAAACAATTAAAAAAACATGACAAAGGCTTAATTATATGATTGCACAACAGAGCTGTAATAAGTAAAACAGATCAAATTAGTTATCAGCTAAAAAGGCAAGTGTGTAAAAATGTGTCTTCAGTCTGGATTTAAAAACAGAGACAGTGTCAGCAGATCGCACATCAACAGGAAGACTGTTCCAAAGCTGAGGAGCCAGTACAGAAGATGCTTGATCACCCTTTGACCTAAGTCTGGACTGTGGAACTGCTAGGAGGCCTAACCCTGCAGATCTCAGAAGCCGTTTTGGTTGGTATGGAGCAATTAAGCAAGTACTCTTCCTGGTGTCCACTCATAAAACATGAATTTAAAATCCACACAAATTAAATTATTAAAAGTCCAAGACGGAAGAGAAAAAGACAACAAAAAAAAATAGAATAACAATAGAAGGCAAAGTACAAATCAAGAGATGAAGATGAACCTTCTGCAAGTCAAAAAGTTAATCTCTCAAATGTTCACCTTATATCTGCAATCAATAAAACACGGTGTTGGACAAATTATTGTTCCTACTAAAACATGCATAGTACCTAATAACGACTAAAGGCTTTGGCCCCCCCGAGGAGGTCGTCGGCTTTCAGTCCTAGTTGGACCGTCGTTGAGTGGTCGTCGCCCTAGTTTTTGCAGTGTGTTGGCCCCCGTCTGCCTTTTTTTGGCCGATTCGACATGTCAAATTCGACGATTCGACCAATTCAACATGTCTGAGGTGAGAGGAATCTCTCTGATTGGCTGTTGGGAGGTTTCATTTCTCTCCAGCTCTCGACACAGGTTCAGTAAAGCCCCTTGAGCATGCCGTTGTAGTATCCATGCTTTCACCCATTAGTGCGGTTTCTCCTTATTCGTCTCCTCTGCCTCTTCTTTTCATTTTCCACTAAAAGACCAACAACGGCAGCGCCATTTTCAACTTTTTATCAGACATTATTCTCAATTAGTAGGCTACCTATAATACGAGTGGTGACCGACAGCGGTGTGAAAATGGTCTTCTCGTATCATAACAATGGACCACCACCGCCTGCTGGCATGGAGAGTTATTTCCTCTGTAACAGCAGAGTCTTCCTCTGTAGTCTTTGCGGTGTGTTCAAGTTATGACGAGGGGTTAGATAAAAGCATCTGCTAACCGCTAAATGCGGGTGTTTTGCGCAGCACTGAGTGAGTTTGTTTTAACTAAACACACACGGTGGTGTGTAATGAGAGTAACGTAGGCTAACAGAGGGATTTGTGACAGAAAACAACGTAAATTGAGTCCCGCTTGCTGACTTTATGAGCAGAGTCAGCTGGTCCTGCACGCTCAGACCACAGTGCTCTGCTGCAGGCTGAAACAGCTTGACTCAGTGTCTCTTTAGCAGCACGGATTAGCATCTTCATCACAACTAAAGGTGTGTTTAAACTGAAGCCTCGCTGTCCTAAGTCCAGGATAACTAAAAGAAGGGGGCTGTTACGGTGACTCGTGATAAAGTGAGCGGCTGTAAACACAGTTGACTACCGACAGTATCACCGCTAAGTGCAACTCCGCTAAAGCTGCGTTCATTCGATGATAAACACTTTCTATTTCCGACAAGTTCTTCACAATAAAAGTCCCCTGCCTATCTGCAGTTGAAGTGCTTTTAATGTGAAACACTCATATCAGGAAATGGGGTGTTTACAGCAGTAACAACTTAACACAACTCGTCTGAAATAAAAAGGAAAGAAACAAAACAAACCCTGAACAAAGCTCACAGCTAAAGGCTACAACGTCCTGAGGAGAGAACACACAGTGACTTAAAAACATCTTTCTCTCGTATAATAAACTAAACACACAAAAAAGTAAACTTATTACCTATACTGTAGGCTACCTATATAATGTAATTTTAACTTACAATGTAAAGATATTGATAAAGACATTGTTGTCTAAATCACTTTTTTAAATTACACAAAAGGAGTTCATATTTATAGGACTGATTGTCTCTGTTTATGAAAAAGTAGCGATGTGCAGTAATATAGAAAATTGAGGATTAATCGTGATGTATCGTGATATTGAATCGAATCGTTGACTGGATAATCGTAATCGAATCGAATCGTGAGACCAGTGAGGATGCACAGCTCTATTACATATAGACTGTACATAGAAAATTATATGTTAATAATCAAACATTGGTATTACAATTGATAAGTTCATGAGAGTCTCTGTGACATTAGTTATTTCTTTAATCTGTTTTTAAAAACAGTTTTACTGGTTCGACTGGTAATATCTGATAGAAGATCACATGCCGCGATACATAACAGAACGTTGTCTTACGTTAGTGTTTGAGGGGATGCCTACTATTGTAATCATGACCATTACAGCTAAAAAACAAAGAAATATTCAGCATTTTAGACATTGAAATATTTCTAAAAAAGCAAAGCAGAGAAATTATCTTCCTTTCTTTCACCAATGGCCATCTTAAAGGAAATTTTAATGATATACGCTCTTCTCTCACAGTTCAGCACCCGTCTTTCAGCTCTGTTCTGGACTAACTGTAATTTATCCAAGTCTTTATTTGATGCAGTTGACCACACTGCTGGACAAGAGTCTGAGTGAGTTAGAACTAATGTTTGTATAACATTAGAGATGCAACATGGGAGGTGTTGCACAGTCTATTCTTCATACAGTCTGTGGTGTTTCTGTGCTTGCCAAAATATCAGAAAGGAAATATCAGATCCTTGCTAGTGTTGTTCTTACTCTCTGATGTTCATCTCTTTGGATTAAAGTGTCTACTAAATGATTTGTAGAATAGTAGAGTAATATTAAATTATTGATATCAGGCAGTTTTAAAGGAAAAACAACTTGGGCTCAACCAGCGGCCTTGGAGGGACTGCTCGGCTCGGGTTGGTGAATATGGACCAATGAGCAAAAGGTATTTTTAACATTTTTGTTTAATTTTTCATCAGAACTCCTATTTCTTTTATAAAGGAAGCAAGATCTGCACACAGGCTGGTCAGTCGCTGATGAAACTGAATGCACACAAGAGAGGCAGAGAGGACATGATGTCATTGACTGTGCTGGTTGGTACGCTCTCCCTCCCTCCTGTCTCCCTCCCTCCTCCCTCTCCTCTCTCTCCTCTCTCTCCTCCCTCCTGCTGTATCTCATCATCTCTGTCCTCACTGTGAGCGAGCCTGGGAGTGGCAGGAAGGAGAGGCAGACAAGAAGGAAGCAGAAGAAGAAAGAGGAGGAAAACGACAAAGAGGTCGAGTGAGTGACGGGCGAATCAGGATTGTCTTCTGAATATTAACGCAGCATCGTTTCAGCAGGTATACTTGATTATTTCAGCATCACTGTTTAAAGCCACAGTATCAACAATGAATAGTCAATGAATGTTTTTATGTTAGATCCAGCAATGACATGTAATTTATGTTTATACTATTTCAGATGTCACAGTATATTTTTAATATCAGATTTCCTACCCAGAAAAGTCATCTGGCTCTATAGTGTGAATGTACACGCTGTTATATTGTATTTGTTAAATCCATTAATGATTAGCTGCTGCTTTGAGTACGCCTGGAAAGCTTTGTTTTATTTTTTATAGATTTTCTCCCTAAAATGAAAAATGTTTTAGTCTGATTTGAGTTTTTTTGTTCATTCTTTTGCAATAAATGCTGTTATTTAATTGTTTATAACCCAATGTGACTGAATGTACATCCTTCTGAGCAAGCCGCAATTTGACTAGTGTTCAAGTGTGTGTGTTTGTGTGTATACGTACGTATGTGTGTGTGTGTGTGTGTGTGTGTGTGTGTGTGTGTGAGGGGGGGGGGGGGGAGCAAAGGAACCTGTTGTCCATTCGCTGCAGCCATTTGGAAATTGAGTTGATTGAATTAGATTGGCCTGAGAGCAGCTTGGATAAGGTCTACATGATGATGAATCTGAGAGTATAAGTGTCTGAGTGAGTGTGTGTGAGAGAGAGAGAGAGAGAGAGAGAGAGAGAGAGAGAGAGAGAGAGAGAGAGAGAAAATGTTCACTTAGGCTGATGATGATGGCAGCCGTTTCTTGGCAGGCGGACCATCAATCAGCTTATAGCGTCGTTATAACTCTGAATGAGTTTCTTTTTAATTTCTTAAAATGTCTTCATGAGGATGGAGAGAAGAGGAAGAAGTTTGTGTGATCACTCTTTATTTGAACGTTTAGAAAATGTTACCAAACTCTCCTGTTAGTCTGACAGTAGATCGCATTGTGTTAAGTCGTGCAGTTTGTGTCTCCGTCAGCATGGCTGAGGGCGCAGCGTCTGTAGCAGAGGTGGAGACCGCCTTCCAGAAGTTCGCGGTCCATGGAGACACAAAAGCCACAGGGAAGGAGATGAACTGCAAGAACTTCGCTAAGCTTTGTAAGGACTGCCGCGTCATCGACGGCAAGAACGTCACCACCACGGATGTGGACATTGTTTTCAGCAAAGTCAAGTAAGATGTCATTCAGGATAAGCCTCCCATAATGTAACTATCAGCGGCGTAGTGCAGAGAATATGACGGTCTACAGCGTATACCGACTTCTAAAATCCCATCATTCAGTACTGTGCTGTGAAAAATGTTTCCCTAGGATGGCAGAGTAGTGCGGGTCAAACTTTGCCATTGCGGGCTGCTGGTGGCGCAGTGGTTAGTGCGTGCCCCATGTATGGAGGCTATAGTCCTCCAGGTGGGCGGCCCAGGTTTGAATCCAACTTATGGCTCCTTTCCTGCATGTCATTCCCCTCTCTCTGTCTCTCCCTGATTTCTGACTCTTTCCACTGTCCTATCTCTCCATTAGAGGCACAAAAAGCCCAAAAATAAATCTTTAAAAAAAAACCTTTGCCATTGCTGTCCTAGGAAAAAAAAAGTTGTAGGAGACTTCCCTGCCTGCTCTATCTGCTCCACCAACTGAGCTGAACCTGTTGGGTAACAGGAAGTTAAAACGTAATTTCTGCAGAGATATTTTGCTCAGTTTGGACGTTTAATCACCTCGTGAAGATGAAGCGTACATCCCTATGGTGCAACCAAGCAACGACACAAGTTAAAGGTACTAACTTGTGTACACACATATGTGGTTATTTTGGACTCTACACCCGGACTTAAGACAGAACCTGTACACAGCAGGTGCAAGGAGGGGATGGGGTATGAAAGCCAGGTAATGCCTCAAAGACAGCAAAACAAAACCAGCTCTGTCTTAACAGATGCATTCATTAAAATAATTCATAAGGACTTTTTTAAGTGGCTAAATTATTTTTTTCTTCAAACCCCCTTCTAAGTAGTTCATAGCCTCACGTCCAGTTGTGATTCTAGAGTCTGTTGGGACCCTAGGAAAAAATAAATTGGGGTTCCTCCAACCAATGTTCAGCAGGGCAACGAGAATGAGTGCTGTCAGATGGGGCCCCCTTATGGAGGTTTCCTACAGTCATTGCAAAATGTGTACATTTCAGGCCACTGCTTTAGGGCCCCCTACTGGCTACCCTACCTTCCCTTCCCCCAGCACCTGTGTTTACGTCTGACTTGCTGGATTCTCTAAACAGAAGCATGCTGACGTCTCATCACCGTGTTGAACAGTCCCTTAAACAACCCCCCCCATGCTCATACATTAGGCTACTAGATACTGCGTGATGATGATGTATCCACTTGACGGTGTGAAAGCTTTTACAACACTGCTGTTAAAGTCGCTTCAGTGGTTTCTTCCTGCGCGTTTCCTCAGGGCCAAGTCGGCTCGTGTGATCACGTTTGAACAGTTCAACCAGGCTCTGACGGAGTTGGCTCCCAAACGCTTCAAAGGCAAAAGCAAAGAGGAGGCTCTGCAGCAGCTCTACGGCCTCATCGCTGGCAAGGAGCCTGCCAACGTTGGAGTCACAGTAAGTATATGTATATCATATTTATATATTAGTACCAGAGCTGGGCACATGTCCATTAATCCCACAGTTATTGGGCTTAATTTTTTTTAAATAAAAATTATAAAGTTAATTTGGTTTTACTGTCATTTTCGTTACTTGAGTCCACTTTGGCCAATTCAAGTCAGCTGACCTCATGTTCCTGACTCTTCGAGGAGATGAGACTTCAGACAATGTTGTTGTTCCTTTTATCAACTGACACATCTTTGCAGTATCATGTGTAATGTCGAACATGGAGGGCAGAGACAGAAAGTCCAGTTTCTACTCTGGCTCTTATTGGCTATAGAAGCCTGAATGGAAGGTCCTGATTGGTCAAATGAGTGTCAATCGAAAGGTCATGAATGCATGAATTAGTACAGAGAATACAGTTGAACAATCCAAGCTATCTGTGGATCTTAACAGATGTAATGTGTTCAATGTGTTAAATCACTCACTGGATTTGCATCATGAGGACCCTCACCTATGTAGCAGGACAGTTTTTGTTCGAATATTACGACAGGAAGAATCCTGTAGACCTTCAGTCGTTTGTGTAGGTTCTCAGGTGATGGTGATTCAGAGATTGATCCAAAGGGAGCTGGACCTGGTTGAAGATCTTAAAGATGTTCCCACTCTCCTCCAAAAGGCTTCTTGAGTGAATTTAATTTTAAGTTAAATATTAAAGGAATTGACTGGTTCACTGATACTGAGGTTAACGTCTTTGTTAACGGATTAACGGTTAACAAAGATAAATTTTCGATCAACTCTGAGTCATACAGCTTAAAGTCATCCTCTGTACTGTTTAATTAACTGTGTTTACATCAGAGGAATCTGGAGTTTCAAAATATTTTTTACATCTTTAATGTTACTGTTTTAATCTGATTTCTTTGCCGTTGCTCCGATCCATTTGCTCCACATTTAGAATCAAAGAAAAAGTCAGGGTTGTCACTTATTGTCATTTGTACCATTAAATGGCACCATGTGGCTTTAAAGAGATATTATTTTGCACTGGTCATCAGTGTTTTGCACTTTGATATTTTACATTAATGCCAAAAAAAGAGAGTTAAGAAGTAAGCAGAAAGGCTGAAAAATGTGTGACTTTAATGTGACGAAAAATGACACCAATGCCGATGTGCAGAAAACTGCAGTTCCTTTGGTGTCCTCAAGGGATTGGCTGCAAAAGTTCAATTTACAAACCTGTTTAAATACCAACTGACAGTTGTTGTAGCTGTTTGCCAGGAGGCTAAAGTCCCACCTCAGCTCCAGCTCTCTGCCGGCTGCCAGGATCAAAAGTTTGTGACAACATTTTTAATATGGGGACCACCATTGTTGGGCTTCAAAAATCCACTTCAGAATCTGATGGGTGACGTCACTGTGACTACGTCCATTTTTGATACAATGTATGGTTAAAAACCTGCAGGATCAAAGAGGTTAAATATCTGCCTGTTTTCTGTCTAAAAACGTGATCTTTTGTTGTTTTCAGAAAGTGGCAAAGGCAGCAGCAGTGGACAGACTGACGGATACGACTAAATACACGGGAGCCCACAAGGAGCGTTTCGATGACTCCGGCAAAGGAAAAGGAAAAGCAGGACGTGAGGACATCCCAGACTCCAGCGGCTATGTGGCGTCTTACAAGGGCAGCGGCACTTATGACTCCAAAGTAAACGAAGCATAACTCAGAAAGAGCGGGAAACTGGTCAAATGAATCAATCCACTCAGGGTCCGAAATTAACCTTTTTGGTGGCAGGTAGATGAAAAAAAATCACATTTAATTGAGTTAATAAGGTGTTATTTTCCGTTGGATTGCAACACAGATTTAAGACGCGGAAATTGATGAATATTTTATTTGCTCGCCTTTATTTTTTTTAAAGTAGAAGTGCCCACGCCGCCCGTGTGGACTACGTTCATCAATATTACAAACGCAAAACAAAAATCCACATGTGAAAAAATAAATTTGCTTTTATCTATAAAAACAAGTAGCCTACATTTCTCGATTTAGGCAGCACACCCTTTTAGCGGATGTGTGTGTGTGTGTCGCTGGCTGCTCCAGAGGACTGTTGCAGTCCTAAGTGAAACGGGAAGCGTGAATTTAGCGTGCACTGTATCTTCAGTGTTCAGATACAACGCAGCGCTGTGAGGAGAAGTTCACAGACTACAGCAGGCTGTGGTGGCATAATGTTACTATAATTAAGTCACTGATTGTTGATGAATGCAGGCACGGCTGGAGTGACTGGCGAATATTTGAACAGACCGTTTGACCAAATTAACTTTGTTGTGATGCACTAAAAGAGAACAAAGTAACATGGTGGCTGGCGTTCCTGTGTGGGTCCTATCAGCATCCCCTAATGACGCTCCGACAGCAGAGGAGCAGGAGAAAAGAGCGGCAGCTAAACACACTAAAAACTGGTTATATAATACATGACTATTTGGCTACAAACATTCCGCCGCCATGTGGCCAAACGAGTACGTAGATCAACCTGCATTTGGCACCTGGAGGGTGTTAATTTCGGACCCTGCTTCCACTGCACCATGATTGAAGTTTAAAGACTTCATAAGTGGCCAGCTGGATAGCTGATAAAAGAGAGAGAGAGAGAGAGAGAGAGAGAGAGAGAGAGAGAGAGAGAGAGACACCATTTCCTGAAGATAATCCAAAGATAGTAAGAAACATGTATTTGCAATAAGTAAAGATATATTAAAGGGTTGTAGCATGACCTGTAATGGTTTTCTGAACATGAGCAGAGATTTGAGTTGGAGGTAAAGATAAAAATTTATTTCTAAACAAGCATGCATTTAGGACACTAACTCTGCTTCTAGTAGAACTTAACACTGTGCCTTACTAATGTAGCCTAGAGGAGGGAGGCTTTGTGGTGCTTTTCCTCTGCTGTTATATTTCTGCTGCTTTGTGAGCTTGCTAATATATATATACATGTCAATGCCTTTTGCATCAAAATGAATTGGCGGCCATTATTCGTCTTGCCTTGGAATTTTCCACACCTTAAAATGTAACTTATACTTACAAGTAGAGCATGAAGAACAATGTGATAAGAATTGAAGAGGATGATACGGTACTGATGAGACAGAGGACATATTTCCACCTTTTCAAACAGTCCCCTGTGGTCTAAATGAAACATCTGTGCGGTCCTTTGGTCAAAATATAACATGAATCAAGCACCACAGGAGGTTTGTGAGCATTTTTCTCTGTGTTGTAAGACTTATGCAGACCACAAACAAAGGACTGGATGGGTTTATTTCATATTTTGTGGGTCGGTAGACTCTCAGGTTCCCCAAATATACGTTCAAAAACACTGAAAAAGTGGATTTTTCATAATATGTCCCCTTTAAATTACCTGTAAGCATGGGATGTGTGGAGATGTCTCCACACATCCCCTGTCTCCCTGTCTCTTTAAAGGCCCTCCTCCCCACTTGCCCACTTTCTTCCAATTGGCCAGCTCTGTTTTCATTCACAGGGAAAGTTGAGTGAGCTTCCAGGTTCAGGTTAAGTCTCGTAATGTTCTCGTAAAGTCTCGTTCAGAGCAGCAGGAACCCATGTCCAGGGATTAAGTTTTGACAAACAAAAGCAGGTCTCAAGATCAAATGAGTGATTTTTAGCCTAAGATAAAACTTCTAAATTGATATGACACATGATATTATTTACTTGACATGTCTGTATCATCAAAATACAAGAAAACTAAGATGCTAAAGTACAGATTATGAATTTGTATCCAGAAATAGTGTACAAATATTTGGTAAATTAACTCCTATAAACAGAAGTGAGCTCTAACAGGTTCAGTCTGTGTTCTGTATATTTGAGCGATATACCGTATTTTAAACGTTGTTTTGATGCATATTGATTGTACGGACTTGTCTGATGCAGCCATAACTCTTTGTTTACTGTGTGAGGAAATAAAAAGGACATCAAATACTCAGTGTTTACTCGTAGTCAACAGTCAGGTTGGAGAAAATAGTCCCCTCTGATTTCCAGCATTGATACAGTTTCAGCACACAAAGAGTCACAATAGAACAATAACCACCGAGCCCACACTCATCCCAACACCTGGACCCTCCTTGTAATGCAACACTGACGGCATGTATGCAGGATCCATTTGAACAAAGCTGTTCATGTGGTGTGTATATTTAAAGCTAGATTTCCTCTTTGGTGTCTCGCACTAAAGGCCTGAGCTGATAACCATCACCTGTGCGTTGTTTGTGAACTGCCTTTGAATTCCCTAAAAAACAAACAAAGAAATGACCACAGGGTTCACAATGAAATCTCAGCCCATGAAGACGTTTTCCTGTAAATCAGTGGTTCCCAAAGTGGGGGCCAGGACCCCTCGGTGTGGGTTGATAGAAACTGATAAAAATGTGAAACCACTTAAAACTGTTGATGCTTCCCATCATTGTTCAAATATATGAGAAGAAGGTATTACATTTAAAGTAAAACCAAAGTGAAATTAGAATGTAGGAAGGAGTATCAGGGCCACACTAAGGGGGAAAAAATCTGAGATTAAGAGAATAAAATCCTACATTTAGGAAATTAATAACACGTCATAATCCTCAACCACCTCCAAGGACAGTGGGGGTCAGACCCTTATTTTGGTGGTTTGGAGCTGAAAGTTTGAGAACCCTTTCTATAAATGAATATCATGTAGTGTTTTTATTTTAGCCCTCCAGTGTGTTCCTTTTATTTCAGAAGTAACTCCTGTTGGTTACTTGAGGGGTAAATGTGATTCTTTACTCCTTAAAACAAGCGTTAACTTAATTTCATTGACAACAAAGAGTTAATGTAGTGTTATTTGATACAGTTGATATTGTGAATTTGCTGGTTGCACATCCTCAATATCTGGAGCATTGCTATCTCTTATGATGCTTTCACACTTCTTGCATGTGTAACCACTAAATTAATCATATTTCACTCAGACTTTACACAGAGTATTTCCTGCCAGCCACCTTGTACGTTTTCTACACGAAGTTAAGGTGAGCTGATTTGAAAACAGGAGAATTCACCGTGCGCAAGCGGGACGGGGTGATGATGTTTCTATCCTGCAAGCGGCACACGACCATAGACAGAGTGTGCATGGGACTGGGATCTTTGTGCACGTGATTAAACTGCTGATTTCTGTATTCTTTCCTGTTATTTTGTTGATATTGAGATTGTGCCAAACTATGAAGCATTGATATAAAGGCAAATTCTCAAAGCGTTGTATAGTGGAGTCGGTATCATCACGTCTTGCCTCCTGAGTCCCCCCCCCCCTCCACCTCCGACCGGGATAGTCTGTGAGGTGCATGTGTGAACAACCAACTCAAGATGATTTCAGGGCCAGTGTGCCTGAAGTTCTTTTATTCTTTTGAAATAGCTTTGTCTGTATTTTGACCCTAAACCATGAATATCCATCTATCCATTTTTTCTATGGAGTCAGCTCGTGCAGTTGAAGCAGGATAAGCAAGTTGACCAAGACATCCAGCTCCTTCTGGAGGATTCTGTGGCGTTCCCAGGTCAGCATGTGCATGATAAGCCAATACAACAAATACATTAGGCATCCTCCTCAGTCTGTACGGGAACTTATCAACTGTGTACCTCCTCCATCACTACTGGAAACAGCTGCTATAACTAAACTAGGGCCTTCCCAGTGTCATCAGTTTCCAATGGCGCGACAGGTGTAGAGGGATAATGCAGCAGGCTTATCATAGACAACAAACTGAGCGATGCTATCAGCCAACCTAACACCCCTGACCTAATAACCATAGACACGGCCACCGGATACAATCTTTAGGACACTTTGATATACACGGGGGACTTCATCAGGATCCTGAAAACCTGCCCTCACAGGTCACACCTAGCCTGTGGAGCGGAGGGTTGAACGTCTCTTAAGGGAGGGGAATAAAGGTATGGACACAGAGATTCCTCCGCCCACCTGGAAATAAAAGTGAGCTGAATATATACACTGCACGCTAACATTAGGTCCTCAGTAAAGATGTGTTGGTTTTCAGGATAACCTGTGATTTGAACTTTGAACGTGGATACAGAGTGAAGAGGAGGATTCCTGCTTGATTGCAGTGAGTAAAGATTTTCTATTAATGATCAGAATCAGCTTTATTGTCCAGGTATGCTTACGCACACACACAGGGAAATAAGTTTAATTAATTACACACTACTGCTGCTGCAGATTTAAGAGTGCTGTTCCACTAGTTTTAAAATAATCATATTTCCGTGTTGTTGTTTATGTAGCTTAAGAAGAAATGTGCAGCGTCTTGTAACTCACCTTGACTGATAGCTACTCCTCCTCCACCCGACTGCGGTAGTTTCAGGTATTCATACGTTCATGTTGGTCTGCTTTGCTTTAGTAAATTGAATAGAGGCATCAGTATGAATCTATGTATATATCTCTGAGTCTGTTTAATAAGCTTTATATCTCAGAATAGACGATGTGTTTATCCACGCGTCTTCGGTGTTATTAAATGACCTGTAATGGGGACAACATTTTTCAGGACCGACTCTGCTGTGTGAAGACATTTTCTTGAGATTGAGATGAGAGCTACAGCGTGCACATTGTTTCTCCTGAGCCTGCTGTGGGACAGTGTGAGAGCCGAAAACTCGATCAGCAGCTTACAGATGGCAGCAGGTAAACCCAACTATCACTCCTCTACTGTTCAAAGCAAACATTAATGACTTTCTATATCAAATTCCTGCAGATATATATACTGATGATACAATGCATAAACAGGACACATGACACATTGTAACATTTTGATATTTACTCTTTCTCTCAATTGTATCCATGGAGTGTGACCGTGCCAGTATTTTTCTCACTATACAGAAAGCAGCAGCCGATTTCAATATCAAGCCAATTTCCCCCCCTCATACATTTCTAGTTTCGTGGGAAGGCGAGCTGCCGTGCAGAAAGTGGGACTGCGAGTGTACGTTCAAGAACCAGCGAGGCTGCTGCTGCGCGGCCACAGAGCTCCAAGAGGCGGAGGACCAAATCTTCCAGAGAGTGATGGAACTGTCCGCGTGCATTTTCCAGCTGGGAGACAGCATCCATGAAGTCATAGGTACTCTGCAACAAGGACCCTGTTTCAAACAGCTCATGGTCTTCTTACATGTGTCAGACGTTCATCAAACTCCTTTTTGAGGATTTGATACAGCAACAACCTACACTGCTGCAAAACTCACAATGGGACAATTTACAGACGTTCCTCTTGCTTGTAGAGATGGTCAAATGTTGTGAACTTGGTCTTTAGTCCATGTTGGCATAGAAATAATGCTTTTACCAAGTCTATGAATATCTAGTTAGCTCCCTTTAAGATGTTATATTTTGTATATACAGAGATCTAATTTAAATTCTAAACTAGGGATGTTCCTAGCACTTAATTTCCTGGCTAATAATTGCAAATTTAAATTCTTCTGTTTCTAGATCACACTCATTTCGGGTAAATTTACATGCAGTGTGAAGATACGAGCATAATAAAGCTCGCTAGCATTAGCATGCTATCATGCTGGTGCTCAAGGGCGACATCTGCTGGATCAAAAAATCGCATATAAGGCCATTAAGGGCCATATTTCCTAAAATGTAATTTTATGTCACTGGTTTGCAAGTGGCACTAACTAACGTTAGCAGTGCCAGAAAATCCTGCCTTCAGTCTTCCTTGTAGGTTAACATCCACATGCCTGTGCTGATGATGCATTCCCAGTTTGAGAGGTCATATGTTGGTGTAACCTCACATGGACTACATACAACCTTTTCCCCATTTTCTAGATCAAAATACTGTCAAATCGCTCTACGGCATAAGAAGCTACAAATCAACTGTGCTGGTTTACATCTAGGTAGTAGAGCACTATGGCAGTAGCCTTTAAGCAGAGCTACAGCATGGGCAAGGGAGGGATGTGGTAATTCTGGTGCTGACTAGCGAAGGTGACCATCTTTAATCGTTTAGTCGGCTAATCTCACAACTAAACTTTGATCACTCATTGGTTTTGAAAAATAGTTGTCTGTGGGCACAACGCTGCATTTATTGTTATTTTCAGATCTGCAGGGATCTTTTCAGGGGAGGGCAAGAGAGTTTTCAGAGTACTCCACTCTATGCCTAAGATCCTGCCAAAGACATTTAACAATGACATGAGAGTGCTGTTTTTAACTTCTCTGTTGACTTCCCTTTGTTTGTTTCAGGAGGGGTACGAGTTGCATTCACAGCTTCCATGAGCCAGAGAAAGACCTGCTTTGGACCTTTCACCAGGAACAGCCCAATTCCTTATGATGTCATCACGCTCAACCATGGAAGTGGATACAACCCAACGCTGGGTAAGCGCTAATTTTAACATCTCATACAAGTGTTGTCCGACAGGGTTTACAGTGGCCGACAAGGGCAACTGACTTACAACAGCCTGAACGACTTATATTGTTCTCGTCATAGATTTAATCTTTTATTGCAAAATGGAAATGAAGGTAAACTTGCAGCAGATGACTCTGCTATAAAGATGCTCAACAGGTCTGCCAAGCAGCATGCCTCAGCTTTCAAGGTAGCAGAAGGCTAAACCACCTTGTATGAGGGTGCACCAAAAGCTTTAGGCATGAAAGGAGGAGGAAGATGGGGTGGTGGAGGCAAAGCTTTGCCAGCAGCAGCGCAGTGTGAGCAGCATTAGCGTAGCAGGGATCAGTGAGACGGGAAGTCGTATTTAAGTGGAACACCTAGTTATGAGTATTGGCTGTGATTGGTTTGTGCGTGATTAGATGATTTAATCAGCAGGCTGTCAGCTGATCACAGCTCGGGCATATACCTACCGCATCCTACATGAACTACAACGAAGCTTCACTGAGGAAAGGCGTTCATCAAATTCAGAAACAATATGCATTTCAAAGCAAATGCAAAAGTCTCAAACAAATACAGAGACTGACAAATGAACCAATCGTGCTGCAAAAATCCGAAACAACTGCATGAACACCAAACGTGCTGCATAAAACCTGCCAAATCAAAGAAGACACACATTCAGAAAACAGTCTTCAGAAGAAGTTCTCCAGGCCTTTAGGGGCGCTCAGAGGAGGATTTAAATCATTAAAGGGGGAGAGGAAGAGGAGGAAGAGGATATATTCTTTCGGAGTAGCATTGTTTGACGGCTAACTTAGCCGAGCTATCAGTCCACCATTTCTCATATAGCTTTGTGGGTCTTTGTACATGAAATGAAGTTCTGTTTTTGCACAGTAGAGAGAGGGGAATGGTCCCCGGAGACTTTATGCGGTCTGATAATGAATTCAGGATTTATTTCCGAATGATAGACTTTATTTTCAAAAGCAATGAAATTAGCTGCTTGAATATCTGATTGTCGGACATTTAAGATTAACACAACATGCTTAGTTAGATTTACTGATGTCCCTTAATGGCTTTTCAAAAATGCTAATCACTTTATCTGTGTGATCTGCTCACCTGAAACACATTTTTTTCCAGGTACATTCACAGCCCCTCGTTCTGGACTGTATTCCTTCGCCCTCTCGGTCTACTCCAAGGTCGGTGGGGAAGGCGAGAAGATGTACTACAAGGTGCAGCTCATGAGAAATTTGGAGGTGGTGGCGTCTACCTGGGAAGACAACAGAGAGGACTCAGAGGACAGCAGCACCCAGACGGTCCTCCTGTCTGTGGAGCAGGGAGGGCAGGTCTATGTAGAGCTGCTGAGTGGGAGGCAGCTTTGTGGGAACGTTGAGGGCCTAAACACCTTCTCTGGATCCTTGGTTTACCCATCTCTGCCCTGATAGTGGTTTGCTTAAAGGTGGTTGTATTGGAAACTGCACTATGTTGGCTTTTAGGGAAATTTAATAAAGATATAGTCTGTTTCTTTTCTTGGATATTGATGTGATTTTTGTTTAAGTTTCTTCACAGAATGAGTGGCACCAGAGCAACATATCACAAACCTTTTGTTGGTACTCTGATGACTCCCTACTTTACCTCTCAGGATCTTCTTAATGATTGTTTAAGAAATACCCAATAAAGAAATAGGTGCTAATGTACAAAACTGAAAAAATAGCAGTGGGACAAACCAAAGACTCTCCAGTCTACTAGCTCTGGTGCATATCAGGGTTCTGCATGTCACATTACGTCTGAGTGTGTTTTTTTTTTCTGCTGATTTTATTCCGATTAGTTGTATCCAAATCAACAAAGCTTTTGGAGGTGGCTGAGTGAATCAATGGATATTTTATAGTCTTCTCTGCAGCTGCACCCACACAATTTAAAAATGCCTGATAGCTTCAGCTCTTTTCTTTTGGTTTGGAACTTTAGTGTTTCAAAGCTGATGAATCTGGACCGTAGACTTTTGGAGTCTTTTGGGTGAACTTGAGGCGAGGGGTTGTGCTGTCTTTTCTTTATAAAGTCTATGATCTTGAAACTGAGAAATGAGAGCACACAACCAACGTTGTTTTGCGACAAGCAGTTTAATGACCAGTAGCAAGAAACAGTAGTTATTTCAAAAAGGTTAAACAACACATCAACCCTTGAAGCAGGGACATTAGGGGTGGGGGTGAGACAAAAAGGGTGACACATGATACCATTTTATTTGCATTTTGAATGTGCACAAGCAATATTATTCCTCTGCTAGTCTGAAGTGTGTGAAAAAATACATCTAAATCACCTCATTTATCATAACTGTTTTTATTTGTTTTTGATTAATCACTTCCTTAAAGGCCGAATGTGCGACATGTTCAACATAAATATATCAGAAATCAAGTCTATCCTGTGTAAATGTCTCTCTGAGTCATGACTGTCTACAACAACATAGTGATCAAAGTCAGAAAGAGTGGGATGCTGGTAGTCTAGTGGTTAGAGCGCGCCCCATGCTTGGAGGCTTGACCCTCGAGGGCGGGTGGTCCGGGTTCGAAGCATCCGCCTGAAGCTCCTGTCCCATATGTCGTTCCCCACTCGCTCTCTCCCTGGTATCTGGCTCTGCCCACTGTCCTATCTCTAAAATAGAGGCAAGTAAAGCCCCAAAATAAATCTTGGAAAAAAAAAGTCAGAAAGAGTAAAGATGGCTACAGAGGACTCATGGAAATGCAGCTTTACAGTTCAGTCTGCTTCTCAAGCCTGCACTCTCCAGCCAATAGACGACTTCACAGTCGAGCAGTTCCCCATAATTAAGCGGGCCGAGAACTTTCTTAGTTACAGTGAACATTTCATACGGTGGGATGAGCACTTCAGCTTCTCGGTCACCAAAAACTGAATAGTCCCCCAGATAAGCTCCTGCACAGGTCTTGATTTTAAAGCAGGTCTCACTACCAAACTTTAATAAGTTGTTGTAGTAAGAGCTGGAGGCAAAGGAACCAAAGCGAATGATTTGTCCGACATTGCCAGAAAACAAACTCCTTGTGCGTCTGTAAGTTGTGTGACATTTGTAATTGCTATTCAAGATCTGTATGGCAGATGTCAGAAGAAAATGTAAGGAATGGAACTGAAATGAGAAGCTGTATTTGCTCGCTTCTGTTCTGACTGCTGTGTTGAAAATATCATAAATATTATTATCAGTATAAACACAGATTGCATGCATGTGGTCTTTGGTCAGAGCCTTGTCAGCCTCCCTTGGTTTCTTCTCAGCACACTTTGTTGTCTCACTCCAGGCGGATTCAAATTCTCTTTCTCTAATTTCTTTGTTAAAGTAGTAGGTCTTGACTTTTTCCATCATTTTTTCCTGGCAGCCAATGTACATGTCATCAACCGAATCTTCAACCATACCCAACGGGATGTCCTGGTTTTTCTCTCGGAGAGTGAAGTTGAAACGGATCTGAGGAGAGACAAAGAAAATAATGAAGGGCAAGGTCGTTCAACTACAGCGGCTCCGAGTGATGAAATACAGAAATGCAGGTGAAGCTGCAGCACGTCCTAAAGTCGTGCAGCTTTAAGGCCATGAGATTATGAAGATTATTATTATTATTATTATTATTATTATGATTCTTTCTTCCTCGGACAGATGTTAAAGTTCCTTTATTCATGAGATAACAAAACAAGTGAAACAGTGACACAAAGGACAACACGGGGTAATAATTTTACAGGCATACAAATAGTCAATTGCCAAAGCAATGGAGGACCCAAGAATGTGAGAATGAAAGCAAAAGAAAAATAACATTGCAAGTCTATAAACACAAATGCATAGCCTATAGACACATAACAAGCAAAACATGCTAACATCAGTCTCCCCACACAACCACACACACACACACACACACACACACACGTACACACACACACACACACACACACACACACACACGTACACACACACACACACACACACACACACACACACACACACACACACACACACGTACACACACACACACACGTACACACACACACATACACACACACACACACACACACACACACACACACACACACACACACGTACACACACACGTACACACACACACACACACACACACACACACACGTACACACACACGTACACACACACACACGTACACACACACACACACACACACACACGTACACACACACACACACGTACACACGTACACACACACACACACACACACACACACGTACACACACACACACACACACGTACACACACACACACACACACACACACACGTACACACACACACACACACACACACACACACACACACACGTACACACACACACACACACACGTACACACACACGTACACACACACGTACACACACACACACACACACACACACACACGTACACACACACACACACACACACACACACACACACACACACACACACACACACACACACACACACACGTACACACACACGTACACACACACACACGCACACACACACACACACGTACACACACACACACACACACACACGTACACACACACACACACACACACACGTACACACACACGTACACACACACACACACACACACACACACACACGTACACACACACACACACACACGTACACACACACACACACACACACACACACACACACACACGTACACACACACACACACACACACACGTACACACACACACACACACACACACACACACACGTACACACACACACACACGTACACACACACACACACACACACGTACACACACACACACACGTACACACACACACACACACACACACACGTACACACACACACACACACACACGTACACACACACACACACACACGTACACACACACACACACACACACACACACGTACACACACACACACACACACACACACACACACACACACGTACACACACACACACACACACGTACACACACACACACACACACGTACACACACACGTACACACACACGTACACACACACACACACACACACACACACACACGTACACACACACACACACACACACACACACACACACACACACACACACACACACACACACACGTACACACACACGTACACACACACACACACACACACACACGTACACACACACGTACACACACACACACACACACACACACGTACACACACGTACACACACACACACACACACACACACACACACATACACACACACACACACACACACGTACACACACACACACACACACACACACACACACACGTACACACACACACACACACACGTACACACACACACACACACACACACACACACACACGTACACACACACACACACGTACACACACACACACACACACACACACACACACACACACACACACACACACACACACACACACACACACACACACACGTACACACACACACACACACACACACACACACACACACACACGTACACACACACGTACACACACACACACGTACACACACACACACACACACACACACACACACACACACACACACACACACACACACACACACGTACACACACACGTACACACACACACACGTACACACACACACACACACACACACACACACGTACACACACACACACACACACGTACACACGTACACCGCCCCGGCAAGTGCTGCAGAGTGAGAACTGAGTAAAAGAAATTTCGAGTCAGGAGCCAGTAAGAGGAAATAAACTAAAACATGAAGAGACTCGTGCTTTACTAGAAGGTGGGTATGTTGAATACTTTTACAAAGCTTTGTCAGCATTAAAACATCGCCTGCACAAGTGGCTAGATAGATAGATAGATAGATAGATAGATAGATAGATAGATAGATAGATAGATAGATAGCAGCAACCAACACTTTACCAGGGCCCTCAACCAGTAGGTCTACAATTATAGACACATCACACAGCAGTTGTTCAGGCACTGATGCTCCACTCACCGTCATGAAGTCTGCAGGCAGCATGCAGCCGCAGAGTAAGAAGAATGAAATGAAGGTCAGCATGTTTCTCTGAAGTGTTAAGACTCTACAAACACACAAAACAACAAGTCAATAAAATGACCTTCACTTTAGTTTGTAGTGTTGATAAAATCATTGTTGAACTATTGGTTGAATTACAAAAAAGTATGGTACTCAAAAGCTTGACTTACCAGACTTTCGAAAGAGATGATGCTGCAAACTTTGTGAGCTCTTTGAAACAGACGGTTCAATGAGACAACTGGTCCTCAGCACATGACCAGAACCCCAATGGGTCTCTCTTTATATACCTTTGTGACCAGGCGGGTCACAAGTCCTCCGACGCACATGAACAAGTTTGTAGAAATGATGAGGGTGGACTACATGTGAATGTCTAAAGGTGTGAGTGTGATAGGAAATGAGTATGGTTTTGTGGGCAATGTTTTTGCTGTGAGCTGCAGAACCACAGACAGACAACTCTCCGACATGTTTTAACTGAATGAAATGCA